AGCCACTGCAGCCATTTGGGGAATGGATTAGCGGATGGAAGATTTTTCTCTCTTATCTCCTTCTCTCTTGTACATCTTCCTTTTCAATAAAAATAAATAAATCTTTACAAACAAAACAAAGCAAACAAAACAGCACTTCTGGTACTGGCATTATGACCCAGTGGGTAAAGTCACTGCCTGTGACACTGGCATCTCATAGGGGCATCAATTTGTGTCCCAGTTGCTCCACTTCTGATCAAGCTCCCTGAGGATGGCAGGAGAAAAACAGCAGGTCATGGCCCAAGTGTTCGGGCCTCTGCCACCCATGCAAAAAACCCAGAAGTTCCTAACTCCTGGCTTCAGTCTAACCTGGCCCTGGCGTTTGTGGCCATTTGGGGAGTAAATCAGCTGACGGAAGATCCCTCTATTTCCAATTAATAAGGAAAATCTTAATGACAACAACAACAAAAACCCACAAAGTTATTTACTCCAAAAATGAGATTTCCTGTTCTTCATTTTCTAGTCTCAGAATCACACACACTAATTACGACTGATTCTCTTAATATAGCAAAATTCGGTTTGATAGCACTGTGTGTAAGGTTTAGACCTCTGCATGTAGAGGAGAGACTGGGGTATGTATGTACCCTGGAGGGTCTTTAAACGTAAAAAATGCAGATTATGGAAAAAAACATGCATGGGTTTGAATTTTTCTTGCACCCAAATAAAGCTACAGGTTGACGGCATTTCCCATGAACTTTGGAAGTACCGATCTGTGCGCATGCACGTATGAGCTTCTTTTGTTTTCATGGTCGTTCCCGGTGGAAGTGTTTTTTCTGAGTAGCACAGACCTGCTGATTCCGCTGAGCTTGTGACACCCAGCGTCTGTCTCACCCCCTTGCTCCTCTCCCCTCACTTTTCCGCTCCCCTAGGCTATCTCACTTTCCAGCTTCTGTGAGGGACCAGCTGGCAAGCAGTGCCCTGACTTTCAGGTCTCCTGCTGGGGTTGCGAGTAATGTCTTTCCTCCTTGCCTTGCAGGGAACACCTGCTTTTTCTAGAGGCTTGGAGGAATGCCTTCCTTGGGGTTCTGGTCATCTTTCCTCTACCCAACTAGGCAGGCTCCTTGCCACAAACCAAGCGTGCCGCTGGGGGGATGAAACGGCAGCACAGAAGTGAATGAAACCTGCCCTGTGCCACCACAGTGGCCAAGACCCTGGCGGAAAGCCACAGTTACTAGGACCCTGAAGGTGGGAACTCGCAAGGTTTTGGTGGATTTCATGCGGTTACAGATTCTACATGGCATGAAGGAACACACTGTGGTTGGAGCATGCCTGATCTTGCGAGGACATGGGGACAGACCGACAGGCTGGGAGGTGGGCAGAATCAGAAATCACACTGGAGAGGAGACTCAAGATGGCGGAATAGGGTAAGGACATGTTTAAACGAACAGAGAAACATTTAATCAGGATGAAGAGAGAGGACACATTCCAGGAAATAGGAGAGGACAGAACAGCAGCAGAGGGGTACCTGGAGACTGACAGACACAGGAAAGCCAGACACAACAGTGTGGTGTTGCAGTGACGGATACTCCAGCTGCCTTCAGCTAACAGCGATCTGGACTCCACCAGCAACCAGGTGGGAAGGGACTTTTACTGGGAGCTTGGAAGGTGAACCCAGACAAACAACTGCTCATCCTGCTGGTCTGTTTGATTTGACCAGGAGCAGAGACAGAGCAGCAGATCCCAGACGGACAGTGCGAGAACAGGGTAGATTTCACAACCCAGTCAGTCCTCTAGAGCTGAACTGGGTGCCATTTTGCTTAAGGAGACAAAAGCAAGGGAAAGGACTGAGCATACGCTCAGTTGGGAGTGAACTCATTTCTGACTCAGTGAACTGCAGCAACGTGGCATTCTACAGGTTCCACCCAAGACAGGTGTGGGTAGCCCTCAGACCTGATGGCCAGCACATCAAGAACTCTAGTAGTGGTACATCAGGCGCCATTTTGTACACTGTGGCAAAAACTTTAGGACTGCAGGGGCAACAGGGAACTGCACATGTGCTGAGCTCGCAAAAACTCACCCAGTTCTGTAGATTGCACTGGTCCCACAGGAAAATAATACTGAGTTCAGCATCGTATGGGTCAAAATAGGTCCATGTAGCACCCAGACCTAATGTCCAACAGGTTCCAGCAAGATTGGCACCACCAACGACCTAGCTATATAGAACACCTGGTGTCTCCCTAACCCTGGGACCTGCTCCAACCAGAAGTGGGAGAAAGGTTGCAGAGACAACAGTGCAGCCTCAGCACGGTATCACAGGAGGTGGACAGTGGTGAGCCAGAGGCTGGGGCTGTGGAGTTCTGTGTGGAAATCTAACATAAGAACCCAGATCTGGAACTTGCTGGAGGGAGTAGCACAAGTGGCTGCAAGCAAAGAGTTGTGTACCAACTTCAATAAGTAAAATCAAATTGTAAACCTGTGGGTGACACAGCTTAGAAACCTGCCCCAAGAAGACTCTGCTAACCAGAAGTACAATGACCAAGAGCAAAAGAAGAGACAAAGGCACAATGAATATTACTGAAAACTCCCCTGCAAAGGACTTTATGGCACTGTAAGTTTCTATTTTTCTGTTGTTGATTTTGTATTATGACTTTTCATTTGAGGGGATGTACAGTAGCTGTGAAATAGAGACTAACATATCGAGATGTGAGGATACAATGTAGTATGCGTTTCTGCTTCCAGACAAAGATGGACTCCCAATGAAACTGTTTACTGTATCTTGACAATAGGATGCTGAACTCTCTGCCATTGTCCATGCCTGCAATGATGGGCATATGACTGTGTATGAAGAACTATAGTAATGATATAGAGGAACTAGGGGGAGGGGAATTGGGGCTAGGATAAGGGAAATACCAGGAGCCTATGGAACTGTATCATAAAATAATAATAATAAAATATATAAAAAAAGAAATCACACTGATATTCAAAGCAGAGGCAGGGAGTAAGGCCAAGTCCACAGAGTGGCTAAGGGTGCAGTTCAAATCCAGCCTAATCCTAAAACACATCACTACACTTGTTTTTAAGGACCATTTGATGTATAAAGCTGTATTTGTTTTCCTTTAATCTGACTGGCCCAGGACAGATGGAGAAAACAAATCATCTTTTTTTTTTTTTTTTTTGTCAGCCACATGGATTTTTGCAGGCAAAGAGTGATATCTGAATATTTTGTTCACTGGTTCACAGCAGGCTGAGAGGCCACACTGAGGAGTAGCTGATCCACTTGGGGAGTCTGAATACAGCCGACTCTTGTTTCCTTGCTTAGTGAGGGCAGGGCCAAGATGCGGACATGGCCAAGTTCCCAAGGTGTCTGCCCAGCAACCCCTTGGCATCCTGCTTACATGCTGCCCAAGGGTGATCAGCTTGGATGGGTGGGTGGGCGTACCTCCAGGATGCCAGTCCCTCCAGGCTGAGGAGGGATAGGAGGCAGGACTCAGCAGGTCCTGGCAGGCCACCAGTGCCAGGGTGAGCTGGCAGCCAGGCTGGAGAACGCAGAGTCCCTGAGAGACACAATGCCATCCTCGTCACCATCTGGCTGCCAGCTCTGGCCTGGAAATGTGACGACGCTGTGGTACCTTCAAGTGACATAGGTCAGTGCAGTGACCATCAAGGAGGTGACAGTAGAGTGTCCGCATCCTAGGCAGGAGCTGCCCACGGAGACCAAGCTCCACTCTCCAAACCCACAGATGGGCCTGGGGCAAGATTCACCAGTGAGGACGCAACGGCCATGGAGGATGCGCAGGAGGGAGGGACTCTGTCCCTACTTGCTCCGAGGCAGTCACGCTCTGGCCAGGCTCCCCCAGGTATCCCAGCTCAGCCACTAACCAAATGAAAGGCAGGGGCAACTCATTCACCCGCAGGCACAGGTCCCCAGCCACGTGTTAACTTCCCTATCATTCACATCGACCTAGAACGGTTTTCTCAGACAGAAGCCTCACTCCAAAGATCATCTGAATGTTGTTTGGATGCAAAGAAACCTAGAGATTAGCAGGTGAAAAAACTGCCTGCGCCACACGACAGACAGCTCCCAAACAGGAGGGAGGCTGTGCCTGGGAACAAGCAGGTCCGAGGGGCAGCCCAGCTCTGAAACTCGCCACCCTTGAGCGCTGAGCGAGTGCCTTCCTGACCCAACCTCGCTTCCCCTCATCGGCAAACACAGTCTACAGCTTTTGCAAAAAAGGCGCTTGAAGAAGCTCAGGAACACACGCCAAGCACCAGGCACACATCAGATGCTCAGCACATGCCTGTTTCTTCTCTCCCCTTGGAGTAGGCAGGGATGTCCTGACAGGACAGCGGCCAAAGCTAGGACAGATGCCCTGGGAGGAGCTGAGCAGGGAACCCATGGGCACACCTGGGCAGTGGAAGAGCATGGATCCCTCTCTGCTGGGGGCTCAGTGGCAGGGACAGGAACAGGAGTGGAGGAGTGTGGGATGGAAGGTCAGGTGGTTGGGGCTTGGGATGCTTGAGAGCAGCAATGCTTTATCTGTTTGCAACCCTGGGATTCCATAAGAACTCTGATCAGAAACGCATTCAAAGGCTGCAACTGACCAACCATTCAACCAGCCAACCGACCAATCCGAATCAGAAACCTGTAGAGACAAACAAGCCCAAAGGAGCCTTTGACACAAAGCTTGCCTACCATGGAACAAAGCCTCACTGTGGGGTAAGACAGCGACTGCTGGCGTAGGTTCAATCCATGGGCAAAGTTGTCCAGAGGGAGGCTGGGGTAGGAAACGACGCCATCTTGCACAAACAAGAATGCCCAAGGCACGGATTTACAGACTAGGGAAATTTCCGAGGCCACATGGTGCTGTTTTCTGGATAGTACCCTGCTCCATGCTAATCAAGAAGGGTTCCTGGGCTCTGCCACATTCACACGTGTGACATTTTAGAAAGCTCCTGGGAACCCAGCCTCTCGGCCACGCCCCAGCTGATCCCAGGCCCTGCAGTGCTCCTGCGGTCCCTACCTTCTTGAGCTCCTCCTGGACGCTGCGGCTGTTCTCTTCGGAGGACACACTTTCCTTCTGGGTCTCAGACTCCTGGTCCTCCCCGGAAGAAGTCTCTTTTTCACTCATTTTCATGGCCAACTCGTACAGCCTGTTCCTGAGTGTCTGCTCTGTGGCGGAGTCCGGGCCGGTCCAGGAGTGCTGACCCTCCACGCTGCCGTCTGTCTCCGATACGTCACCTGACACCTGGCGGGAAAGGCAGAGCCGTGAGAGGAGGACCCTCCTGCTGCTAGGAGCCCCCATGGCTCAGCAAAGGGAGAGCTCCCTACCTGGTCCTTCTCTCTGGATGAACTTGTGGCATTTACTGCACAAGTCACACCCATGCATTTTCACACTTCATTAAGGGGGTTCCAGCAAGTGAATTCGCTGGACTCACAAAAACTTTTGGATTCATCCCATTGGTTTACACATACACACACACAAAGCTGGTGCTGCTAGTGTGTTGAGCAAATTGTGAACAGTGTGTGTGTGTGTGTGTGTGTGTGTCAGCCCACAACTGGCACGGCCAGGGATTGGGGAAGGGCTCTCAGTGGCCAGTGGGAAGTGACGGCTGAACAGATGCAAAGTGTTCCAGCTATAAGGATGAAAGGATAAAGTAGTGTTCTGGACAAAGATTTGGAGGTGGCGCACATGTTTTTTAAGACTTATTTTATTTTTATTGGAAAGTCAGATATACAGAGAGGAGAGAGAGAGGAAGATCTTCCGTCCGATGATTCACTCCCCAAGTGGCTGCAATGGCTGGAGCTGAGCCAATTCAAAGCCAGAAGCCTTTTCTGGGTCTCACATGTGGGTGCAGGGTCCCAAGGCTTTGGGCTGTCCTTGACTGCTCTCGTAGGCCACAAGCAGGGAGCTGGATGGGAAGCAGGGCTGCCAGTATTAGAATTGGCACCTATATGGGATCCTGGCAGGTTCAAGGCGAGGACTTTAGCTGCTAGGCTACCACACCGGGCCCACAGTGGACAGTCTTTAATACCAAGGCACTCCTGGTTAACAATCTTACACTAGGTAGGTAAGGTGGTTCTATTGGCTAATCCTCAGCTTGCGAGTGCCGACACCCCATATGGATGTTGGTTCATGCCCTGGCTGAAGCACTTCCATCCAGCTCCCTACTTGTGGCCTGCGAAAGGAGCCAAGAATGGCCTAAAGCCTTGGGACCTGCACCCATGTGGGAGACCCGGAAGAGGCTCCTGGTTCCTGGTTTATTGGCTTAGCTCGCTTCGGTCACTGCAGGTGTTTGGGGAGTGAACCAGTCGATGGAAGATCCTTTTCTCTTTAAGTCTGCCTTTCAAATAAAAATAAGTGAATCTTTTAAAATCAATCTTACGCAGTGCTGGGCTGTAGCCACAGAGTGCCTGGGTTCAAGTCCTGGCTGTGCGTCTGACTAGTGGCCTGCCCATCAGGCAGCCTCCAGGAGGCAGCCATGAGGGCTCCGCTGGTCGTCCTCCCACTCACGTGGGCTGGGACTGAGTGACTGGTGTCCAGCTTTGGCGCTGGCTCAGCCTGGGCAGTGTGGGTACTTGGAGAAATGAACCAGCAGATGGCAGCTTGCTCTTTCTCCATCTCGCTCACACAATCACAACAAAAAATATTTAAAAACCCAGAAAACCTCAGAATGCTACACTTCCCAAGAGTTAATATAAAATATTCTGTACAGAGAGGTTCCTCGGATTCTCGAACTCCACGAATGAGCAGCTTTGTTGTGGTTCTGCATGCTTTTTTTTTTTTTTCTCCCTAGGGAGAAGACTCTAGCTTTCTCGAAGGGTCCTGTCATTCAGCGGGTGCTTCATCCTCTGGACATGTGCTCTGCCACCAGCTGAGCTAGCAGGGCGCACCTGGCAATGCACCTGCTCCAGGAGGAACAACAGTCAGCCGCTAAGACCCTTCCCTGGCCGGCGGATGTTGGCCCCAGCTGCTGCACACGGTTCCAGGGCGGTTGCCATGTATCCTTGCTCAGGCTGCCATGGCCGAGCGTGGGTGTGAGGGGCAGGGCACGTGGGGCAGTTACGTCCCACAGTAGTTCTACTTCAAGCCAGAGTTCCCACTGTTTTCTCTCTCTTAATTTCAAGAATGGCTCCATGCTTAAAAGAACTGAGAAGCACTGGGGGAGGGATGAAGGGGCAGGGGGATGGTCACCGTTTGGTCTGTGACCTGGAGGAAACTTGAACATGACTTTGAGCAGACCGCACGGTCTTGCGCAGCTTCAAAGGCGGCTGCACCTGCTGGGTGTCTGGGTGTATGCTTTCTGACGACACTCGTGGTCTTGCCGGCGCTTCGCAGCAGGTCCCTGAACTCACAAACAGGCAAGACTCACGAAACAAAGTTCTGTTGTCAGCAGCTCTCAGCTGGGACTTCACTGCAAGCGTCCTGTGGACTAACTTTACTCTCGGTTCTACCTTCTCCCTGCTGCCCTGCCTCGCCCTTTGTCCTACTTTTCTCATAAATGCATTTTCATTTTCCCTTGTTTACATTTCTGTAAACTAATTTAACTTATTTCTGGAGCAAGCTATAAACACGCTAAGTAGAGGAACAATTAGAGATGATTAATTATAAGGAGTTGGTGGCTTCTCAAAATGGCCCGATTCAGAACACATATACATTGTTTTTAAGAGTAAAGTAGGATCTAAAAACGCTATTTGGGAGATACATTTACTGGGAGAAGACAAGTATTGCTAATGAGCATGGCCAAAAATGACACCCTGGCTGAAATGGAAATAGCAGCCTCCTGCAATCCTGAGGCGTCCGGCAACGACACAGCAGCAGCCCGTTCCCACTTGGACACGCATCTGGCAAACACCTCTGATCCAGCCTCCCCCGTCCCACCAAGGCCATCTGGGGATACACAGAAAAAGATGAAAACGCTCAGGACTGAAAGGCAACGGAAGTTAGTCTGTTGCCAGCAGGTAGATGGGAAGTACAAGGTTCATGGAGATGCACCGAGAATGGATGCAAATCCATCCACCCGCACCCCCACCTGGCAGTCATACCTGTTGACACACTGCCCACCTCCAGCCCCCTAGCAGTCTCTCCACCTCAAATCTTGGTTTATAAGAAAAAAAAAAGTCTTGGTTTATACAGGTAAAAGAGATGCCCACCATTACGTAAAACATGTAAACACATGGCTGAGCCTTCCACTGTGGTCGCAGGGCTTCTTAAGCATACAAGGATAAGCTCTACTCGCAGCTCCCGTTAGGGCTTCCCTGCTGTAGAACACACCCACCTAAGAACATATTCAAGGGGAGAGGGAGGAACTACCCACGGTGCCAAGCTGCACCTTGGCAGGTGTTGTCCTGAGCCCTGGGATCAGGGACTACAGAACCCACGACAAGTGTACAGTGGCGTTTGCTGTTCTGTAGCCCTAACCCATTCACTGCACGCAGGCTGAGTACCGAGGCTGGGTTCTTGCCCATCTGTTCTGGGAAGATACACAACCAGGCTGTAAGAATAGGGAAAATCTCTCTGATCGTTAGGTAGCAGCCTGCATGTGACTCACACGTGCCTGACACTGGTGAACAGCGAAGTGGGAAAGGGGTCGTTCTCACTGAGCAGCGAGTCACCATGGAGCCCTAGAACACTGCAGACAGCGAGAACAGCCTGACGGGAGGAGGTGAACCTTGCTCGCAATCAGGACACAATGTGTACGAGTGGCTCTGCATGCTCACTGGCGGGAGGGGACGGGTTCAACGACAAGGTATAACAAGCTGTAAGGGACAGGCACTCAGACGGACATCAGGACAGGGCGGTATAGGGCGACAGGAAACCCAGCGGCAGAATGAGACCTGCATTTGAAGACAGTAACAGCAGAGTTAATATCAGAAAATCCCATGAAGCATGTGAAGGACAAACTTGAGAAGGTTTCCTTGAAGGCTGAGGAAAAGACAGTGAGGAGACCAAAACAGAGGATGACAGGAAAGATAGAAGAGCCAACATATACAAGGGGGTTGTCAGAAAGTTGAAAGAAAACCCCTACCAAAATGCCAGTGCCATGATTTGTACAATCAGAAGAAAACTGTGCAATTCATATTGGAATTGCAAAAAATCCAGAATAGTCAGAGTCCTAAGAAAGAAAAACCCAGTTGGAGACATCATGATACATAGCTTCAAAGCACACTACAAATACACCGTAATTAAAACAGCATGGAATTGGCACAAAACTAACCACAAAGATCAAGAAAACAGAACAGAGGGCCAAGAAATTGATCAGTGCATGAACTGCCAATTGACTTTCACAAGCATCGTGGGTTGGGGGTTGAGGACATCATGTGTTCAGGGGCTACTCGGAGGGGTCAAACTGGGCCAAGCTGCATGTTGGGTGGGACTGGAGGCCTGGGATAAGCGTGGGTGAGGACTTGCACTGTCAGCTGGCTCTGTCTGCCCATCCAGAGAGAGAGAATGCCTCAGAACAGGCTACAATGGCCACGTGGCCCCTGTGAGTCTCCTAGAACTGCTTCCTAACAAGGTGTATTCTAGAAAGAAATGTGAAACAGAGAACCCACAATGGACCATTAGCGCGACCTGATACGAACCTGGAGGGTCCTGGGGAGGGGTGGCGGGGGATGGACCCTCACGTGTGTAACACTCAGCTCCTCACACCAGCAAGAGGAGGACGTGTCCCCTGCACAGGGTGTGTGTGTGTGTGTGTGTGTGTGTGTGTGTGCGTGCGCGCATACGTACCTGGCGTGCGTGCAGGTCCTGGGCGTGGGCGCTGGGGGAAGCCAGCTCTCTGCTTAGATCCTCTGAGCTCACACGGACCCTCCTCCACCTCCTGGCCCACCGATCTGTGGCCTGGGGGGCCTCCTCCGGCTCGCTGCTGTCTGAGGTCTCCCCACTGGCCACCTGGGGGTTGAAGTTCACGTCCAGCTCTCCCTGGAGCCGCAGCTTCTCAGCCTTGGGGTTCCTGGGCCCCTTCCTCTGCAGCCAGGCCAGCCGGGCCCGGCGCCCAGGCTCCCGGTAGGAGCTTGCCGAGGAGGTCTCGGAGTCTGAGCACATGGTCTCAGGGTGAGGGGACATCACACAGGACGGGGAGGCAGCTGATGGGCCGGCCACACTCTGAGCCTGCGTGGGCTGAGGCTGGGGGTGCCTGGGCCGGCCCTGGGGCTGTGGGCACAGCTTGCTCAGGGCTTCACTCCAGTCAAAATCTTCCTCACTGTCGGAGCCCATCTCGTCATAGGCGGATGCCACGCTGGAGGCCTCCTCTAGGGCCTGGAAGGTCCCACTCTTGGGCTTGACCAGAAGGCGGGTCGGGGGCAGTGTGCCATCCTTCAAGGCCACCCAGTTCCCATCGGGGCTCTGTAGAACCGCGGCCAGGTCTGTGGGAAGGGAGAGGAGGCAGAGGGGCCGCTGTCATCACCGTGGGGCAGTGGAGGGCCTGCCCCTGTCACCTCCCCAGGCCTGGCTCGTGGAGGAGTTGGAGGACAGCTACTCCAGGAATAGCAGGAGGGCAACCAGATTGCAAGATTCCCCAAGAAGTCCTGGAGGTCTCCCAGATGGTGGAGAGGAGCTCTCAGACTAACTCCTAGGTCCATGCTGCCAGGGGCAGTGGCCACTTTGGCCCTCAAAACTGCCCCCACTCCTGCCCTAGGGCTGTTCGGGAAGTGGACAGGGAGGGGACAGTCCTTGGCAGCCCCGGCTACGGCTCTGTGGTCTTGGGTCACGGGACTGATCTCCCCACGTGCCCTGGCCCCTGCTGCTGGTCAGCATGAGTGTGCTGGCACAGGGTAGCCCTGTGAGATGGGCAAACAGGCCTACTGAGAGCCCGAGCCATGGCCTCCATTCTGGAAAGAAAAAAAAAAATGGACATGGGAATGAAGGCAGGCAGGGCTGAGTTCCCTGTGGGAGGTCTCAGAGTGTCAGGACTGGAAGGGTGGGGGTGTGTTGTCTTTTCCCTGGCACTAGGCCACGGGCAGGGCAGAGCTCCTGCCAGGTTAGCTGGGGCCATCTCAGACTGTGGCCATGGTTTCGGACACACTGCCCAGGGCATCCTGGGTGACTGTGCACTGAGGAGTACGGCGGGGGGCGCTGCAGTGCGAAGAGTGGCTTCATTGTTACTGAAGGCAAACAGAAAAAACACTGTGATGACTGGGAACCTGAGCAGCCCCCGTAGCCTCAGCTGCCCGGAGGGGGCCAAGGCCTCTGCCCACCCAGCCTTTGAAGGGGCCAGCTCTCCAACATGTATGTGATGTCAGCTTCCAGCCTCGATGCTCCCCTGGCCACAGCTCTGTGAGAGTGGGACCACTCTCCGTGCTATTGGAAACACACAGATTTTCTACCACTTCTAACGTCGCTGCTCTGCAGGCGTGTCCTGGCGCTGCCTTCGAGGCACGGACCCCGCCAGGCTCATAGGAGAGCCTTGGCTCCGGCACAAGGTCTCAGAGTGAAGTCCCTCACTCTGTCCCGGGGCCGCTTCCTTCAGGGAAAGCTAGGCACTGGGCACCCCTCTGCCCCGCCAGGCTCGGCAGAAACAAGCAGGGCCCGCTGCCAGCCTGTCCTGAGGAGACGCTGGTTTCCACCCGGTTCAGCATCATACTTGGTCCAGGGTCACTGGCTCTGAGTCCGCTGGGAACAGCCCTCAGGGACCGCAGGATTCCCAACAGCCCACGAATGTGCAATTCTGCTCTTGCATCACTGTGCAGACAGCTTACAGCGAGCAACCCAGCCCTTTCAACCCTGACTTGTGTTTGCCCCATCGAGTACACGCTCTGTAGACAGCAGGTACGTGAAGGGAAAATGGGGACGTGGAGGCAGAGAATCCATAATCTGCTGTCAGCATTTGTCAAAATGGAAAGGGGAGGCATCCCTCCAGGCACACGTCCTCAGGGCGGACCCCTAACAGCGCGCCCACAGACTCCTCAACACACCCTTTCCCCGCAGTGTAAATGCAACTGTTAGGAACAGTCCTGGGGCCTCCTCTGTCCTGCAGCTCTCTGCACACTGTGCGCCCCTGTGAGTCATTTCCTGCTAAACACATCACACAGTCCTCCAGTCCTCTGGGGCTGGCATGAAGAGCTGCAAGCCAGGAGCTAAACATCATCTAGAAAACAGACGTGGTTTTATAAAGCGCCATCCTTTGAGAGACACAGATTCTGAACTGAGCATAAGATCCATTTCTTCTTTGCGGGGGGAGGGTCAGGTACAGGCTGCGCAGGTCACGTGAGGGTGTGTGGAGCCTGCTGGGAAGCCCTGGCTCCTCACTAAGATCACTGGCATGTCTACAATCGGATGGACCAACAGCTGTGCACAGTGCTGGGAGGCGAGGAGAGCTAACGCACTTGGCCACTGGAACATCTGGTAGACTTGGTACTGCGGCCTGTGTCGCCCTAACTAGTCAGCTCGGCTTCCAAAGCCCCATCCTTCAAACTAAACCCTAGAATGCTGGGAACCACTGAGTGCCTCACAGGCTGCTTCGGCACCCTTGACCTATGCGCGATTCATTCTCGGTTCCCCCAACCACCAAGACCACAGGCAGCTGTGCCAGGAACTCCCCAACTCTGCCCATGGGTTTCAATAAAGAACATGGGGAGTCAGGGACCCAGCAGCGAGGGGAGTGCAACCACATCACACTCGTGGAACCCTTGTGACTTGGTGGCTCGGCTGCCCCGGGGTGGGCACAGAGAACACACGACACCCCAGCGGCCCTGGCACAGCGCCCAGACGGCCCGCAGACCCAACCTGACACAGCTTAAAACCGTTACTTCTTTCATCCAGCCGGTCCACGCTCTTCCAGCTGGGCAGCACAGACTCATCCCTCGGGTGTTGGCCGCGGGCCCCCCGGTGCCTTGACGCCGCCTCCAGGGACGGGGTCTTCGGGGCATCCTCCCCGGTGATGGAGTAGGCAGAATGGGACCGCTGTGGAACAAGAGGCAAGAGAGCATCAGGCAGTGTCCCCCGAGGCACATCCTCCCCCTTTAGCCTGAAGAACACACGCCTGCTGGCGTCAGCTCTCCACACAGTGCACAGTAACCCAGACTCCCTGAGCAGTCGGCCGCCCCCTGCTGGCTGATGTCTGTGCCAACAGCGTCACTCCTTTCTCAGTGGGAAATGCGCTCGCAGCATCAGCTTTCCTCCTGCCGAGAGAGCTCTTTGGGGGGCCTGTCTTTAGGTCCACGGGAAAGTCTGCAACTGAACAGGAATTTGCCAGGCCTCTTGACACTACCCCTTGCTATGACAACTGATTTAATTCCTTAACGTCTGGAAAATTCCCCTTGCCTTTCATTCACAGGAAACTAAGGAAGGGGTAGCTTAGATAGGTGTTTGAGAATAACAAAGCAAGACGGCAGATGCGGATACAATTTATTTGGTGACCACACAGGGCTATTCTGAATCAGGTGGACACAGACGCCGTTCCAAACCTCGGCACTCCAGTTGCTGCGGGCTGGGGGGGAGCCCAGGAACCCGCAAACACACGGTGACCAGAACGTCTTGTTGAAAGCACCAGGTACACCCATGTGATTTGGCAGTGGCATAGATGTGCCTTTTTATTTTTTTCCTCCCAATAATTTCTTAAACAAAAGTGGGGAGCAAGAGAAAAAAAGAGGAGCCCACTGCTGGCTGCACTCACAAACGGGAAAGCGGGGTTCTCCATGGAGGAGGTCAGGACCACTCCCCAAACCAGCGGGAAGCAGCAGAGCTGGCGGAGGCAGGCCAGGTTCTGCCAAGTCGGTGCAATGCACACATTGTCCACAAGGTGACGCCGCAGCAATGCTTTTACTCAACAACTAGTTCAAACTTCACCGCTTTGGGGCAGTGACAGGATGGGTGGCATGGTAATTTATTTTTTTCATTACCCTGGCTGAGGCCTCTATACGCACCCACGGCCTCTGCTTTTCTTCCCTTTGTACCCACTCTACAGTTCATGGCAGAAGCTGGAATGATGCAGTCAGGGGGCACTGGCCTGAGTCACACTGCAGGGGGACGGGGCAGGGGCAAAGGCCGGCAGCAGGTGTGGGAGCCCTGGGTCCAGCAACACTGCATGCTAGGCCCGTCCTGTGACGAGGGACCTTGCCTCCTCGTTCTTCAGGAGTTGCCTGATGTCTCGGTGAAACCAGCAGGATCTTAGCAGAAACTCACTCCCCACCCCCGCCACCGCCACCTGCTTTGTCTCTCCTCTCTCTCACGTGGCCCATCTGCATCTTTCCCACCGCCTCTCTCTCTCCTTCTGTCTCTTAGGATTCAGTAGGCATCAGTCAGCTTGAGGCACACCCTGCCCCCAGGACATCCTCGCAGGGCTGGCTGCCTCTGCTGGGGACTCACCCAGAGAGTGGCGGGGGCCCGGCGGGCTCCCGGGGCAGCCACGATGTCACCGTCCACCGCCTTCGGGCTGCTGAGGGGGGTCTGCGGCCCCTCGGGCTCCTCCTCCATCGGCGGCTCACTTTTGCTCTTCTGTTTTCGTATGATCTGGAGACGGGGAGCAAAGCAGAGGATGCGTTCCTGGATGGGGTCTCAGGACAAGCTACCAGGACCTTTGGGAAGAACCTGGCTTGCACGGAACGGCCATCTACCACTGCACTGTCTTCTGGCGAGTTGCATGGGGCAGCCCTGGCTGGTTGCAGCTGGCAAACAGACTCGTCCCTTGGGGCACAGCATTCGATGCCCTTTATGCTCCCTAGGTGACTTACTACACTCATCATGGCACCCATGCCATGCAACCAAGTAGTAAACTGTACCACTCAGCAACACTGACTGAGAAAACTGTGGGTGTGAGGACGACCCAAAGCCTAAATCTTTTTTTAAAAAAGAGATGTATTTGATGGGCAAAGTGACATACACAGAGATGGAGAGAGAGCAAGAGAGAGCTGTCTTCCATGCAGTGGTCCACACCCCTAAAAAGCCACAACATCCAGGTTTTGCTTAGGATTAGGCCAGAACCTTCAACTCCTCCCAGGTCTCTCTTGTGGGTGACAGGTGCCCAAGCACTTGGGCCATCTTCCGCCAGCTGTCTAGCCACAAAAGAAGGGAGTTTGGTTGGAAACAGAATAGCTGAGACTTGAACTGTTGCTCCAATGTGAGATGCTGGCATTGCAGGCAGCAGCCTGACCCTCTGTAACATAATGTCAGCCGCTCAAATATTTCTAACGTGTAGCTGGTTAAGCGGGGGCTGCTGAGCCTACAGACAAGGAGTGTGGAGTACAATTCTTAAGTGAGTTCACAGCGAACTGTATCATGTGCCTGCCACGCCAGGTTCCACCTTGTGCATCACACTGGCTTGACCTGCCCTGCTCCTCAGGATGTTTCTAAGCGGATCATGTTCACCTCGTTTTCCAGACGAGGAAGTGGGCTCTGAGAAACCAGGTGACCAGGTAAGGCCATGCAACCCACGAATGGTGGAGCCAGTCCCTGGCTGAGCACTCTCGTAGTGGGAGGTGGTGGTGGCAGGGAGCAGGCCCGCAGAGGGGGAAGATGCCAAGAGCCACTAGGGTGCCCTCTGCACTGACTCAATGGTGCCACTCTGTGTGGCAGATAACACGGATCTCATGGATCCGTCTATACCAGGCCCTCGGAGTTGCCAACTTCCCGTGGATACAAAGCAGCTGGGCAGCCAGGGAGCGCCCACCTTCTGCAGGATGGTGCTTGCCAGCTCCTCCGTCAGCTCCTCCTTGTGGTCCCGCAGGTAACTGGCCTCGTTCTGTTTGTCCTGCAGAGGGACGGAAAGAGCTGCACTGCGGGGAGCAGCGGGAGGTGGGCACTGCCGCAGCAGCCAGGACCCTGCCCACCACCTCCTCCCACAGGGGAGGGAGACAGGGACCCTACCAGGCTGTCCCCGTAGGACTCGGCCTTGCAGATGGCTTCCTCGATGGCTTCTTCAGCTACTCTTAGTGCTACTGCCAAGGTGTCCATCATGCTGTGTCCTAGACCGGAAACACAGGGCAAAGTGTGGTCCACGGGGGAAACGAGACCCACGCTGGCCAGTCCGCTCGAAGCACCTCGGCTGCAGTCGTTTCGCAGCTCCGGGGTGGGAACCAGATGGCTCAGGAGGGCACACAGGCCTCCACTTTCCCACCCGCCCCTACCTGCCATTCAAACTCTGGGCTCCACAGTGACCTGGGAATCTTGGAGGGCTACTGTCCCTCCCGGAGTCCTGTCACCTCAGACCACCGGTCTCCAGTTCCCGGGGACCTCAAGGCCTGACCAAGGCAGCCCAGTGGCTGGATGTCCATCCCTAGATCCGGGGTTTGCCCTCTCCAGAGGTCATGCACAGCCAGACGCGGTCAAGTTCCCAACACTGAACACAAGTCCAGGCTCAGGTGGGGGCTTCAGGGAAGCAAAAGGCTCTTGTAACAGGAATGACTTCTTTATCTAATTTTCAGATAAAGATTTTTTTGCACGTGTAAATCACGCTTCCTTGTGACTACAGGGAGAAGAGTTATTAAGTGGCCTGAGGACCCTTGGCTGTGATAACGGCAAAAGCAAATGTAAGACCCATGGGCGAATCTTCTGGACTGTAAGCCAGTGACATCCATGACAAGCTCACAGGCCTAGGCGACATGTGGGCCCCAGGCCGAGGGTCCCATGACTGTGTGCAAGATCTCCCTACAGCACCCATAGGCCCAGGTGCCCTTAGAGAGGCAGTGGCTTAGAACCAGACTGGTCAAATACCTCGCCCAAGAGGCTACGACTGGCAATTAGGGCGCTATCCCCAAAGGCCTTGGTTTTGAGCACAAAAGTCAGATGAACACAACATAACATGACTTTCCCCCCTAATATACGGTTTTCACATTTTGGTGAACATGCTTTGCCATATTTGGCTAGCAACGGGAGGAGGTAGCCCCATGGAGAACTTTTCCAGGTAACACGTTATTTCTTTTTTCTGGACCAGAGTCTCCATTCCTCGAGGTTCCTGAGTTTTGCTTCTCACACAGGAGAATCGCTCCTATCCCACACTTAGCCTGAGAACTGTGACACTGAAGCCCAAATCACATCGGGCACAGGAAAGCAGGTCTCCCTGGCCGGGTGTCTGCCTCACCGCTTCCCACCTGTAACTTCCTGTACACACACACACACACACATCTTCTATCTGCTGAGTCACTCCCTGAATGCCCACAACAGCCAGACCTGGGCCAGACCAAAACCAGGAGCCTGGAACTCCAGTGGCAGAAACCCCAGGACTGAACCATCACCTGCCATCTCCCAGGGTGCGCACCAGCAGGAAGCCGGTGGGAAGCGGAGCTGGGTCTTGAACCGAGGCACCCCGACATGCCAGTCATGCCATACAGTGCCCCAATCACTTTGCCCATCATCTGCTTCCATTTTTTATCTCCTGGTTTTGCATTATTTGACACAAGCAAATCTCCCATAAGCTGTTGAAAATTCTTTTGTGGAACAAGACAGGGTATTGCCCGATTAAAAAAATAATCCAAGCTTCTTAGATATAAATTGGCAGACAAGCAGATTTCTTTAAAAATAATAAATAAATAAATCCCAGGGGAGGTCTAAGCGCTCTTGAACCAAGAGCATGCCCCGGGTGGGCGACACCGGCCCCAAGGGAGAAGTATGGGGTGACCCCAGTGCAGAGCTCTGTGCCCTCTGGGGTGACTGCATGGTTTGACAAGGCTTCTGCGAAAAGAGTTTAGAAAATCTGGCGGCCCTCATGCTACATGCTTCCAAGAACTGGACAGCACATTGCCCATCTTTCTCTCAAGACACTGTACATCTGTATCTATAATTATACATGTATTTTTTTCTTCACAAGGAGTTTAATAAATTTTCATTCTATCAAACCTGCACCACCAGAGTACCTCCTTTGGGCTGGGCTCTGCGATGGCCTCTACTGATGCGCTGGTAGAGTCACATATATGGCCGTGACAATGAGATCAAGGAAGGGGCACGGCGCACTCGGGGCTAAGGGGCAGCTGGTGGGGTCGGCAGGGATTTGCACTCCTCTGTACGCCTCTTCGGCAATCTTACCTTCAGACTGCCTGTAGAACGTGGAGTCGCTTCCTGAGATGCTTCCTTCATTCTCCAGGTTGGACTCAAAAAACCCTCCTCCTAGATTGAGAGTGAGAGGAGTGACAGGGAGGGAGGCTCAAGTGCCTTGGATGAACTCGGGAGCACTGGCAGATGGGCGTGTCCCACGCGGCTGGGGGTCCTGACAGCCCCACAATCACGCTACCATCCCGCACAGGCTCATCTCCTCTCACAAGGACTCCTGCTGACGTCGTCTGTATTCTCCAACTTCCTTTCCCTTCCTTTTGCTAGGACTCTCGTGTTACCCCCTCCCTCCCTAACTCATGTCCAGGGCTCATTCTCTAGGCAACCATGTGAGAATGTGTGAAGTCTTGAGAGCGCCGCCCTCCTGAATGAATGAATGACTGTTGTCTCTGGGGTGGGTGAGGTATTGTGAGAGTGGCCCCCGTGCGTGCTGTCTGTCTGTCCACCTTCTGCCATGGGAGGCACGGCAGGATGCCCACGGCCATGCTCTTGGACTTCCAGCCTTGAGGACTCCTATCACTTATTAATTACTGTTAATAATTACAAGACTAATTAATAGCTGCTATTAATTATGCCATCTCAGGCGTTCTCACACAGCAACCCCAGGGCCTGATGATGCACTACCTTCTTTGGGAGGTAACAGAGAAGCCAAAGACAGTTAACTAGACGTGAGAGCAATTCCTCCACGGGCAAATCGCTGACTGGGTGATCCTGGGCAAGTTTTCTGATCTCCCAGCTTCCAGAAAAAAACAGGAACAACATGAGATGGCTCATGGTGTTCTGCAGGGAAGATGGACCTAGTCGGTGAGGAACCAGTCCAGGAGCTCTTGGAGAACAGGGCAGAGCAAGTCACCTCCACAGGGACTGGCAACGGAAGAACAGGCTTTAGCCACAGACTGGAGAAAGAGGCAAGGAGGGGTTTCAAGGAGGGGTCGGACCTGTGTCTCCACAGGCATGTGGTGGCTACTGTGTAGAGCGAGCTGAGGGAGGGGCAGGGCGGAGGAGGAGGACAGAAGTCAGGACACGGAAGTTCCAAGCGCAGCCTGCACTCTGCAGTTGACACTGGACCAGAGTGGCGGAGCAACAATAGAGGTACAGGAGGGTGTGCTTACAAATCAACAGGAAGGACCCCAGTGTGAGAAGCTGGAGGGGCAGGTGGGGGTGATCCTGAGGCCCTTCCTGGAAGGGGATAGGGATTAGAGGCAAAGAACAAGAGGAGAGCAGCCAGAACAGAGGTGGTCTGCACCATGCCCACCCCGCCCCCAGCCCACAGTAAAGGTGAAGAATCCCAGTCTGGCACAGCCTGTCTGCGATGGCAAGAGAAAGCTGAGCTTGTCTGCAAAGAACAGGTGGTGGCTGCAAGGAGCTGGCGGAGAGAACATGACGTGAAAACGCCTGTGAGCTTACCACAGGGCCAAGCTGGCCAAAGGACCAGCTCCTTCCTCTCGGAACCCTCAGTCAGCGAGGTCAGAGCCATGGCCCTCCCTCCAGTTCCCCTTAAATGCAGAGGTGGGAGCAGCCGGGCCCCTTAGGGTCCTGTGATTTTCTGCAAGGACGGGAAGCCATTGTTAGAGAGCGCAGTGACTCAGCAGCCGGGGAACTCTGAGTCATGGCGAGTTCATGGAACTCCGCACTGTGCAAAGAGGACGTGCGTCCATCAAATCCCTTATCAGAGAGGCGAGGGACCTTTCCAAGAATCAGGTGGAAAACAGACACAGAGTAACAACAGGCCGGTGCTCCCGTCCATCTTATCCAATACTAAATGAAAGCACTTCTTGCTTCTCTTGGTTTCAAGCTGAAGTATTTGTTAACAATGGCTACTTCGACATTTCAGGTCATGTTTCTTTTCAGGGTCTGTCAGCCAAGGCCTTGTGAGCCCTTGCTACCACTGGAGATTATATTATTTATAAATGTGGCTACCTATGGAATGAGACTTTTTCCCTGGAACGATGGTTTTGAAATGCCTGCCTTCTCAGCCTCAACTTGTAGCCAGGACGGTACACAGTCGGTATTCAAAGCTGATTATTGAAGAAATGGCCAAATCTTGGATCCATCTGACAAAAGCAAATGGGTCTTTTTCATCTGGCACCTGACCCGGGCTGCAGGAGAGGAGCAAGGCTGGGCTGGGAGAGGCAGGTGGTGGTTCACGGTGTGCATGTCAAAGTCTATTACTGTGTCATGATTACAGATCTTGGTTTGGGGAACATCTCACCAACACACCCCCATCTGCCTGTCTCCACCTTAGTTTCCACAGAGATCCTGATGGTATTAAAGCAGTGGATTTGAATAAGGAGTTTACAGTCGAGCCAGTGCAGAACTGAGAAGCTAGGACGTGTTGGGTACGGATCCCTGGCAGATAAAGAAGGTGCCACCTGCACAGACAGTGCAGCTAGCTGGAGCAGCAGCAGCCTGCCAGGCAGTGCCTGAACGCTGCCCGCCCGAGACATGCCGTGCCTGAGGCTCAGATGAAAGAAGCGGTGAGTTCCCAGTGGGCCCAGCACCTACACCAGCCTCACTGTGGGCTGATCCTTCCCATCCCAGCTGCCTCCTTTGAAAAGGACACGTGTGCATTTCGAAGCGGCCCCCCTCCCCTCGCAGTGCTTGCGATTTTCCTTCTCTGCCCGCGGGACTTTAGGGAGCAAGGGCCGGAAATCAGCACCACTTTCCATTCTGCAGGAGCGTCCACACATTTGCTTTTTCTCCCCCTCAACAGGTAGAGGACGCGTGTGAGATCTCAATTTGGCAAATTTGTTTTTAAAGGGGGGGAACCCCACCAACCCAAGGAAGCAGAAGGAAGAGATGTGAGTGAGCAGGTTCTGTTCTGGAATGCACCCCTCAGGCCGAGTGCTGGGGAGCAGACACTCCCCCACGCCCCCATTCCGTCCAGCGCTGGACCCGGGGTGAACAGAATGTGGGGCTCAGGAGTTAAGGACAGCAGAGAGGCACCCTCTGTGTACAGACTTCTTCTCTCCCTAATGATGTTCTAACATTTTCATCATTGGAGCAGACCAACAACCTGCCACTTTTATAAGGATCCAGAACTAAAATATTTGACACTTGCAGAAATGCTCTGGTCTTCTGTGCCCCTAATGTGAGGACTGGGGCTCGGCAGGGACACTGGAACCAAGAGAGTCAAAACTTAAAGAACCGAGTTTCTGGTATCAGTTCTCCTGCTCCCCTAGCAGGTCTTTGGTATCAGGTTAAGTGTGCTCTCCTCCCCCACTCCCGACCACACACACACGCACACACACACACACATGCCAGCCAGCCAGCAGCCCACCAACACCTCTCCTGGCAGTAAAGTACCCAGCAGGTCGAAGCAAGTGCCGCTCTCCAGCCGGTGCTTCCTGTACAGGTTCTTCAGGACTTTGGCGCTGCCGAAGCGCTTGAAGCGGCTTTTGACATTGTTGTAGAACCATTCCAGCGACTGGGTCCTCAGGATCCTGGGCCATGGACAGAACCAGATAACACCAAGTTATAGCCAGCCAACAGCCAATCGTACCACCCAGCTCTGCAGCTCTTGGCAGTGGGATGTGGAGTTTGCCCGCCCCGTGACTCTGGGCTGGGCTCAGGACCACGGACAGTGGTACAAGAGCTGCTCCTATGAGCTCCGAAGCAGGGCAGGTTCCTCCTGGGCTGCAACCCATCAGTGTGGGAGGAAGGCCCCTGAGCCTGCTGTGTGCCGAGGGACACACGGCTCCCTGGTCCCTCTTGTTCTGGCCAACCTCTGCAAGCTGACTGATGGCACCACAGTGACCCTAGGTGAGACCAGCACAACCATCTGCTGAGTTCCAAGAGCAAGTTAATAATGCCTGCTATTCAAGGATACTACGTTAGATGGTCGCTTATTATGTAGCATGGCTCAACTGATGCATCTGTTTAACAGCAGGCTTTGAAGGACGTCCTTAAGCATTAAGAGCATCTTTAATCCAGTTTGGGACAATATAGAACCCAAGGGAGACAGCAAAAGTCTGCTGCTCTTCTTCCATCATCCTTGAGCACCAGGGAGAAGCAGCTTCCTAGTTAGTGCTACAGTAGACGGCACAAAACACTGATAAGATTTTTTTCTTTTGATGTCCTATAAGAATAATTTTCTACAGAACTTTTCATTTGAAGAATAGCTTTGGTTGTCATATCTGTGATTATGAACACAATAATGTACACCCCGGAGAGAAAGATGAGAAGGAGAGGCAGAGAGAGAGGGAGGGAGAAAGGAGAGAGAAAGGAGGGAGAGAGAGGGGAGAAAGAGAGGAGAGAGGAATGAGAGAAGCCCCATGGTGTTCTGACTGTGAACTGGGGCTTTTGCTCCAGTGTGTAAGCCAACAGAATGCCCCACAGATCAAAGAATCAGAAGAAAGATGTGAAGTTAGTTAATGGCTTCCCTGCAATATCTCATTTGTTTTCACACTGTGAATTATAATCACTTCCAGGCACTTGTTGGGTAAACAGTTTTCTAGCCTTCTTTTTCCATAACATGAATACATTTGTAAATGTGATGCAGTTCCTTAGAACACAAACTTGGAACACGTAGCCCAGCTCCAGAACCCACACTGAATTTACTATCACATTCAAGTTCTGGCTCATCCAACTGAAACAACACGGTGCTGGGAAGGCAGGAGCTGCTGGCACCAGGCAGGGCACAGAGCCTGGCTGCTGAAGGTGCAGCATGGGCTCTGGAAGCTCCACCCCAACATGGCAGGGGCTTGTGCAAGGTCAACTTGCTACTGCTGAGTGTCTGCAGACCTTACAGTTCCCAGGGTTCCTCCAAGCAGCAGCACGGGTACCACCCGGAACCTAACAAAAAAGTACCATCGCAGCTGCCCACACTCACCCCTGCACCTGCTGGATCTGAGTGTGCACACTCACTCCTGCACCTGCTGAGTCTGAGTGTGCATTTTAGGAAGATTCTCACGTGCACCGAAGCTTGGAAAGCCCGGGATGAGTAACTTAAACAACGTGCTTTCAGAGGAGGCATGTTTTTTTTTCTTTTAAATGTTGATCGCAATCTATTCAGTAGATCAACAGGGCAGCCGATTTGCCTTTTTGCTTTCTAAAGAAAAGTAACTGCACAGGATGACAAAAAGGTTTAAGAGCAGAATAATCCATACTGAATCCCCAAATTCAGGTGCAAGGATCACATATGAGAAATTTCAGATCTTACTGCTACGCGCTCAAGTCATGATATATTTCACACTGAAGGTTCACCATTCAGTCTGAAACAAACTAAATTAATAATGAAGCTGAAGCAGACTTTGTAGGTGACAATGCAGGACAGTAGGGAATAAAATCCAAGGCCAACTCAACATGGCCTTGAGGATAACTGGGTGCTCCAAAAAGTTTATGGAAAATGGACTTGGCAAAAAAATGGGTGTGATTCTTGTGTTTCATCTTACTCAAAATGCTAGACTTTGGGGTTAAAGTGTTTCTTAACCTTTTGTATTTCCTGCATTTGAGGTTTCCTGGAGGGCTTGTAAAAACCCCGGTGCCCTCCTGCCCCCTGACTCTGATTCGGGTGGGGTCTGGCCAGGAATGAGCATTTGGGCAGCTCCTCCCATGAAGGCGATGTGATGTTGCTGGCCAGGGAGCACATCGGAGCACTCCCGGAGAAGCACACGAGGAAGGGCCCGGGGAAGACATAGCCCACTGAACACTGTAAAAAACAAAACTATTTATCTGTCTTGGAAGATAATGTGATTTGATATTTAAGAAAGCCTCAAGACGCCACCAAAAACTAAAAACCAGAAGTTCCGACAAGCAAATTCAGTAGAGCCACAGCTTACAAAACCGACAAAAAAAAAAAATCAATAATGTCTTCATACACCAATAACAAACTTGCTGAGAAAGAAATCTTGTTCACATTAGCTATTAAAAAAAATCAGATACCTAGGAATAAATTTAATCAAGGAAGCAAATTCCACCTACAAGGAAAATTTCAAAACATTGATCAAGGAAAAGAAAAAGAACACAGGAATTAGGCTGGATGCCTACGGTCACAGCCTAGAAGAATTAATACTGCTCAAGTGACTTACAGAATCAATGCAATAAAGATACCCAGGGCTCTCTTCACAGAAACAGAGAAAGCAATCCTGACATTCATGCAGAAACACGAGATCCTAAGAAAATCCTGAGCAACAACAAAGCCGGGGCATCACCATGCTTGTCCCTGAAACATACTGCACAGCTGCTTTAGCCAAGCCAACACGGCACTGGTATAAAAACTGGCACACAGAAAATGCAATGGAATAGGGAACACAGGTATAACGTGCAAGCATCTACAGCCAACTCATCTTGGAGAGAGATGCTAAAGACACCCGGAGAAAGGAAGCTTCTTAAACAAATGATGCTGGGGCAACCAGACACTCACAAGCAGCAGACACACACTAGGGCCTCATCTTCTGCCGTGTACAAGAATCAGCCCAAGACGCTTCAAAGGCTAAAGTGTAAGATCAGAAAGTATGAAATTACTAGAAGGAAACATAGGGGGACATTTCAAAAACTGATCTTGGAAAAGAATTTGGGGGGATATGATCCCCAAAGGACAGGCAATAAAGGCAAAAACGGGACAAAGGGTTATACTACAGCGAATGGCTCCTGCAGAGCAAGGAATCAACGAACAGAGTTAACAGACAACCTACAGAATGGGAGTAAATATTTGCAAACTAGCCATCCAACAAGGCATTCATTCCTAGAATACAGAAGAAATTCAAGCAACTTCACACAGAAAGAAGTCGATTAGAAATGGGTAAAAGATCTGAATAGTTATTTCCCCAAAGGAACACTCAACAAAAGAACTCAGTTCAAAAGGGTGAGTGACCTGAATACATACTTCTCAAAGATATGAAAAGATATGCTCCACTATTGCCAGTCAATTATCCAACTGTGATCATCACACACTGTATACATGGATTACATGATCATGCTGAATATGTGCTAGATATGTGCAATTATTATATTGATAAGACTGAAAAAGCCTAAAAATGTGAAGAAACAAGGTATGAATAAGTCAATTATAAAATTGACAGATGGCATGGTTCATCAGCAACACTTCTGAAGGCCTGTGTGCGAGCTGGCTCTGAGCTGGGCTGTCTCCACAGCGACCCCGGCCCTGGCGGGACCTGAACAGCTTTCTCTGCGCAGCCCAGGCTCCTCTGTCATCTAGAAGCCTCTGGCACTGACCTTGCCCTGAACTCTCCATCTCTCGGGGGAGTTCCACGGCTCTCGGTGCCACCCTTCGCCTGGACCCCGTCCTCTGTTGACAATTGAGTGAGTCTGATCCTCACTGATCAGGCAGCAGTCAAGCGTGGGGCCTGGAAAATGGATGGCTTCTTTCACCCATAGTTGTGTGGAAGCTGGAATAAACATCATTTCCATACAGCTTCTGTTCTGCCTCCCTTTTTACAAACTTGTCTAGGTCTTCTTCTACTTGTCAGAATCCACTTGAAGGGAGTGCAGGAGAGGGGAGTTTGGCTGTCTCTTTGGAGAGCGGCTGCTTTTGCTCAAGCTGCAGATCCTTGGACCCCAGGCTGAGACGATCCAGAGGCAAACCCTGCATCCTTCCTGTGCTAATTTGTCTGACCTGGGCACCAGGATAGCAAAGAACAGTCAGCTTCTTGCCCCCATCACATCCCTCAATGCATGGCCTTGAAACCATCCACGTATCACTCTGTATCTTCCCTGCTCCTCATCCTCAGAATATGAATGACCACAACTTCCCCCGGCCACACTGTCAGGGACAGAGAAGGGGTGTGTGGGATACTATCTCATTACTGTGTCTGCTTGGCTCTGATAACATCCTTACCTTCCTATTAAAAAAGATGTGCAATTTCCTCTCTGCTGGCATTCATGTTTCACTATTGGCAATGTTAAGCTATATGAGATGGACGGGGTGTTCTCCCTTGAAATTAAATTCTTAGGTGACGGCGGGACCAAGCAGGTGGTTTGATGATGGCTATTATTAGCCACTTCTGGACTCCAGCTCCAAGAAGTGAGCTCACAGTGAAAACGCTTTTAATAATACTTGCCTAGGATTGAAGACATAGGATGCACTTGCCATTGAGTGAAGTCCTACCCTCGAGACAGAGCTAGGAGAGGCAGGTTAACTGGTGATGACAAAACAGCTGCAGAGTGGGGATATCAGGATCCTCTTTCTTATTTTTTAAAGAATGCAATAACTTGCAAGATTTAAAGTTTAACTCTCCTGCTATTCAAGCTCACTGTTCTGGCCCCCATCTGCAGCAGGCAACAATACTACTGGCCTCTTGTGCACTTTGCACAGACGTAAGGAACTCCTAAAAACTATCCACAGGTTGTTCTTTGCGCGGCAGCAGCAGCGCCCCCGTCACGCTGCTCTGCAGATGCTGTTTTCATAACCAGGGGATCACTGCGCATCAGAAAATAGTCCCTCATTCCTGTTTCAGGGCACACAGCTGCTGACTCTGTGAGC